TTTTTGTCAAACATTTTTTGTACAAGTAGCAGTGTTGATAGTGGCATGTCATGTATTCCAAATAATTGGAAATTTTCAGCACGTTTATTTTCGTTTTGTTTATTAGGTGAAAATCAAAACCTTAAACCAAAACTTTTAAATTAAAGACACATTTCACATAACGGGTAGCAAATTCAAACAATTTGCAATCTTTGTATCAGCATAATGATAAGTGTGTTTTTGCACACTTATTTAATACCTAAATAAGCTTAAATATTGATTAAATGAACAAATTTTTATTTACAATTACGTGATTATTGCTTTTCAAGTAAAAATCACCCAAGAAATAGAATAAGACAAAAAAAAAAAAGAGAGAAAATGATCACAATCGTGCAAAATTGTGAACTTGTGGACCAAAGTACAAGTCAGAAAGTGTAAGGCCTGGGGTTGCAATTTTTGGAGGGCGTGATTGATATGAAAGTCAAAATCTGAGGACAAATTGTACAAAATAAAAGTTTAGGGGACCTTAAATGCAAATTACTAGAAAACTTTTGTGCAAAAAGAAGAAGAAAACAAACAAAAAATGAAAATAAAATTGATCTATTTTCAGAAAAATTTAATGTGATTATTTTGTTTTAATCGACATAGAGATATAGTAAGTTAAACCAATCAATTGGGTTAATTTCGCTTAAGAGAAGTAATTAATTAAAATTAAAAAATCGGGTTTAATATAGTAAATGAATAATTCATTAATTGTCTTGCGAGAAAATTAATTAGGCGACGGTTAAACGAAATCATAAATTTCAACCACGTTTTCCTCCAAAAATTTCAATTTTTTATGTTTTTTTAGTTTGTAAAGTTTAAGTTTATTTTTCCTTATTTTCAAATCATAAATTTAATTGTATGTGCTCTTTATTGTTGGAATTAAATTAATTGAAATTGTGTAATTGAAAGTAAATATTTTTCGAGGGATTGACAACTCAAACTGAAATTTTCCACTTTATTATTTGAATGCGGCCCATGTACTTAGCGAACACATAACAAAGACATTCAAACACACAAAGATGTTTATAATGTGGCATGGTTCTAGAAAGCATTTGGAGTGAAATCTTACCACAAAGCTTAGGATTTCAAGTATGATTAATTAAATGATGAAGTTAGACAACGAGCAAGCACACTCGATAGATGGCGTTGAATGTAATTGTTTCGCGCGGGTTGTCGCTAACAATTAAAAGAAAGGTTCAGACGATTGTGTAAAAAACAAACATCTTGAGACAAAGTCCTAAAAATGGGTGTTTTATTGATGAAGATTACAATTGGAAAGAAACAGAATGCCTCCAAGGGACACAAGCACACGAATACTAAGAAAAGATATTTTAAAGTAAACTAATAAATGAAATTACATATTCTTTGTTGAGAGTGTTTGATTCGGGGTCTTTTCTTCTATGTCTTCATTTCCTTTTTGTACTCATTTAATAGTTTCTTTGTGAAAAACTGTTTGGTGCTTTATAACTATCCACTTTCTTTATGATGGCTTACTTGTCATGGAACTGCCGTCTCTAACTGTTGCCATTACTCTTGTCGTTTAATTGCCTGCAACCGGGATTCTTAGATCATGGAGTGTGATAAGGTTGCTCAATAACCGCTTCAATAACTACTGACTAGATAACCATAATACCTTATATTCGCTCAAATCCTGGGCGACTCAAAGGCTCGGGCGAGAACGGGATCATCGCTCTGGGCGACAATAAGACACTCCATTCGCTCAGACCCTGGGCATCTTGCAAGTTTGGGCGATGATGATACTTTGTTCGTAGGTCTCCACTGTATTCCATAATGGTCATGTTTGGGCCTTTATCCTGGATTTCCTAATTGGGCATCATTCATTGGACTATTTAATTTGGGCTACACTTTTTGTATATCAGCAATTACCTCCCAATATGGCAAAATTAATACCAATTATTAATTTTTTGCCATATTCTTCCTTTGTATTTTTTGGCAATACTTGAAACTCCCAAGAATTTCAATCATTATTTCCGTTTGGCTTCAACCTGAAAAGCGTAACGTTACAAACCCCTATAAACCCAAAAGACAAGCTACTTCGTCGCGCCATTACCTTCACGTCTTTAAATCGTGCGTTTCTATAAAGGTCAATGTTCATTGTCTTACTTCATCACTACTCTTTTCAAGAAACCTTCACAACGTCTGTACTTTGCATCAAATGGTGACTTTACAAACTCCTTCCGATGATTCCTTCAGTTTTGAGGACTTCCAAAACCTTCTTACTAGGCCGTATATAAATTCAAACTTTCTTTTACAAGCCAACACTGACCTTCATGAGTTCTATCTAGGTCCGTCATTTAATGATGCTGAATCGGTCGGACGGGCGGCGGTAGGTCAACTATTCCCTTAAACTGAAGACCTTCCTTTTCTGAACTCCCTGCCATTTGAATCCAATCCACGAGAAAGGTATTCATACTTGGCAAAAAATTGATCCTAGTTTTCGTAGATGGCATGCACGTATGGTGAATCATGGTCCCAACAAAGCAATTTTTGATCATGCTACGATTTTGGACCTATTAGAAGTTATCCTTTATCCCCCAACT